ACGCGGTGCTGGGCCCGCGGCTGCGTGGGAGTCGGGCCTGTGGGCAGCCACGCTGGGCGTCTGCCAGGGGAAGCAGCCGGGTTATTCACCTCTGAAATACTGGTGAGGGGCCTTTCTGTTCCTGGGATTCGTGATGGTGAAGTCATGCTAAAAAATACCCCAAAGTATTAGAAAAATATCTTCATTCCTACAAATACAGGTTCTTCACAGTGATTCCGAGTAATTCTTCATCCAGGCTCTGTAGATCTTTCAACTGTTGACTTAATTTGAGCTCTGGTAACATAAGTTAATTGAGGAACTGACACATTGACTTTTGCAAGCTGAACCATGTACTTTTTTCATTATGACTTTTGCCAGTGTGTGTAACGCTTACATGTAAAACTATGAGCGCTTATATAGTGACGCTTTGGAGTTTTGTCTTAACTTCACACAGTTAGGTGGTTGTTTGGTTGGTTTTGGTTTTTTTGTTTTCATTTTATCTTCATAGCAGTAGAAAATGAAAGGTCACTCACCAATTTGACCAACTACAGTGGTGAAAATGTATGCCAGTTTATATAATGTTTCCTAATAACACGCTGCTTTTTCTGTGGCTCTTTATCTGGGCAGGGGTGTGTGTATAGATATGCATATAAAACTCCAAAATTAGATCTAACTTGTTCTGTATATCAAAATGTTTTCTGGTGGCAAGTTATCGGGTAGTTTATTAATTTTTCTTTTGAAACTTAGAACTGATTTTTGTGTGTTGGTCAAATCATGTTTTCTCAAACATCAAAACTACTAATCTCACTTAAGTAGGTTTGTGTAGGACAAGAAAAATACTAAACATTCTTTACTGGTTTTGGGGGGTTTTTTAGACTTTTTCCATTTAAATACAAATGCGTACGGAATTAATGGGACTGTGGGCTTCATGCCCTTACTTTTATGTGCCAGCATCGACTTCACAGGCAATTTTAGTGAAAAGAAACAGATGGTCTTTTCCTATACTAGTTGTTTATGCTTCCATTTCTTCTTTCTAGGAGATATCCAGTGAATCAGGTGTAGAAACTCATTCGGGTGGGATGATAACTATTTTTTTTTTTTTCTTTTCTCTGCCTGCTGGTTGTCTGTTCCCGAGATCAGTTCTCCGATTTGACTCATAGTGCGGCTGTGCGAGTGCCTGTACTGTGGAGGGAGCCAGGCACGAGGAACGCAGGGGACATCCGAGTGCCTTCGATAGCAGTAGTGTGTTGGCTTAGCAAAACTGTAGCATTGGTAGTTTCAGTGACCTGCAGTGTGGGAACGCACAGAAGAGGAAAACTTCAGTAGTAAAGTTTGCCAATAAGCTTGTCCAAAATATAATGGTCAAAGCAAAAATGCAATTGCCTGTGATAGAGTTCTTCCAGAAAAAGTTACAAGATGAAGCATCTTGTCTGTTTTTCACAGTATAGGTAAATTAGGTAAGACACCTCCGGACATGTATAAAAATATTTTTGGTCTCCATGCAGCGTTTTGCTTTGCTTGACAAAGTTTCTTACTTGTCATGTGATACAGATAATTTACATTTCAGACAATGCTTGAAGGTTGTTTGACTGGAGTATATCTGTTGTAAGCAGCAGAGCTAACGATGTCGATTCACAGCAGTGCCACAAAACGCTGTTTTTATTTAGAAAACAGTGGAAAAGTAGTAGTGGAAGCAGGAATTTTTAGTGTTCTCCAAGTAAGCTAGTTGTTATCTGTCAGTGCTGCTATGGATGGAAATCTTTGTGCCTTTTCTTGATGATTTCTGACAAGTTTTTCCCCCTTCTTACCGGTGTTTTGCAGATAACTGAACACAGCGCGTGCCTAAGTATGCAGTCTGCTAATATGCTTCTGAAAAAAATTGTAAGAAGTCCTGTCCTTCCATTTGCTGCGCGGCATGGGATGAAAAAGGATTTGTTTCCACTCAGCAGAACTCTGAGTTTATCACTTTGCCTGAAGCAGGACAATTCACGCAGCCCCTCAGAAAAGCTAGATTTAGATGCATGGAAGACGGTCATGAAGTCAGGGTTTCAAGAAGCCGGTGAGGCGGTCTCTGAGCGTAAGGAACTTTCCAGTTCGGCTGCTGCACGTGAGCTTTTGGAGATGTGGAGACTAGCTGGCAGATCGGTTCCAGAAAATATCAGTGAAGAACAGCTAAAAACCTTTATGGAGTGTCCTTCCAAGTCAGCTAAAAAGAAGTATTTAAAATACTTGCATATCAGAGAACTTTACAAGAAAAACGACAAAAGGAAGATGGATGAGAAAAGGCAGAGGAGGCTGGAAGAACAGGAGCAAGCTTCCAAAACCAGCGAGGAGAGAAAGAATTCTTTCATATGTGTGTGGGCCAACTCCATGGATAAGGCGTACAGCTGGAGGGTTGCTCAGTCAATGGTCTTTGGTCAGCCCCTGGTCTTCGACATGTCTTACGAGAAAGAAATGTCCACCCGAGAGGTCGCAAATACAGTGCAACAGCTGGTGTTCAGCGAAGGCTGCAATCGAAGGTGCATGGATCCCTTCCACATCCATTTCTGTAACTTTAAAGAGGATAGCCTCTATCATAAGGAATTTGTCAAGCATTACAGGGAGGCGTGGGGCAAATTGCTTATCACTGTGACAGACCAGTGCTACACGGAAATCTTTCCAAAGGATAAGCTTATCTATCTGACTGCTGATTCTCCCAGGGTCATGAAAACATTCGATCACAACAAAATCTATATCATTGGGTCGATGGTTGACAGGAGCATAAAAACAGGGGTCTCGTTAGCACGGGCAAAGCGGCTGGGGCTGGAGACCGCGGCCCTTCCGTTAGAGAAGTACTTGCTTTGGAATAGCGGTGCCAAAAACCTCACGCTGGATCAGATGATGCATATTTTACTAACCTTGAAAGATACCGGAGACTGGAAGAAGGCTCTGGAGTTTGTTCCGAAAAGGAAATATTGTGGCTTTGTAAGCAGGCCTGTGCATGAACTGAAAAAAACCTTAAATCTGATCAACACGCTTAAACTTGGAAAGAAACAGGAAGAATTACGAAAGCAATTTGCCAAGAGCTACTCCAGGAAGTTAACCGAGGAGTAGAGCAAGGGGGAAGAGAACGGTTTGGTTTTTTACAGGCAAACTGTGCCATTGACTGCTCCAGTTTCTCATGGCTTCTGGAACTGTGTTCAGCTCTAAACATGCCTTTGTTGGCTAAGTTTGAACGGACCATTGTTAGGGCCTTTTTTTTGTCAAAACCACTTATCTTAGTATTCCGGCTGTTTAAATTCATTCACATTATTGAAACTATGTAAGAGAAATGAGATGATCTGTTCTAAAAAAAATATTCTGTACCGAGAGTATCGTTCTGTTGGAAGCGTGCTGGGACAAGAGTGTTTTGTAACTGAACACCAAGGTGGCTCCTCAGCGAACACCTCGGAACTTTGGGTTTGCGATGAGTGGGGCCATCCGCAGCCTCAGGCTGGACGGTTAGGGAAGAGAACTAGAAGCGACTTTTCCCCGTTAGTTCCCTACGCCTCTTTTGGTGTGTAGGTGACTTGACTTTCGACAGCTGAACTAAAACCTAGTGGTTAAAAACCAGCGTGGGTTTGGGCAATTGCACAGTGTGTTTCTGGGTGTTCTGTCTGGCACAAATTCCTTCCCTGTTTGGAAAGAAGCAGCCAAATTTCTTGACCCTGCCAAAAAAAATACCTTCATACATCTGTGTAAGACGTTTATCCCTGATTGCTTGTGCTTCCAGTCCAGGTAATGCAGATGCCCCAAAGTGCTGGAGCTTTTTAGGATGATAAACAGTCCTATTAATAAACACTGAGAGGAGCAGAGAGCCTGTATTTCTCACAGCTGAGAATGCATTGATGGGTCGGTCTGCACAAGTCTGCGTTCGAGCTACAATGGGCACGTGGATAAATACAGTTCTTTCTGCTGTCTCTGGGGTGAGGAGGGATTTTTTTGTGGGTGCTTAAATCATTTTGATGTAGTCTAGTTGGCTCCCCTGACATTAAAGTCTGTTTTGCCCTGAAAATTCAAGAACTAGGAACAATGAGTGCAGTTTCAAAGAGTAGACTTCAAGTACTGGGGTGTTGATAGCGATCTGCTCTGTCTCCTCTCGCTGTGCCGTGGTGAGGAGGGGTCGGAGGGCAGAGCATGTGCTGTCGCCTTCACTGCCAGGGAAGTGTGGTGGCCTCTGGGCATGGAGAGCCTCTGGCTTGGAGAAAGACTCGCTTCCTCTCTGCCCTGCGTGGCTGGGTTGTAGGCAGAGCTTCACCCTGGGGCAGCGCCTCAGGTGCAGGCAGGGCTGCCTTCCGGCTCCCTGGCCTGAGTGTGCTGTGGTTATGGGCCTCCCTTGGCCCCTTTTTCCTGTGGGGAGGAAGAGGCAACACGCAGCCACGCGCTGCTGGGTTGTGCCTCCGGTTTTTTGCTGTTTATCCTTAAAAACAGCCTCTTCTCTGCACTGCTTTGCACTTTGGGGAGGAAGAAAATGATGGCGTTGCTCGCTTGGCCTCGTATGTCGGTGAAACAGAAAAACTTTAAACCATGGGGGATGGGAGGGCCTGCCAGTGGGCTTGGCATCCAGGGCGCCTGGCAGCCGTCAGCGGGGTGCGAAGGTAACGTTGAGCCTCCGGGCCCTCCGCCCCCGCGGAAGGGAAGCGATTTCCAGGCGCGCGGTGCCGCATGTGGCGGCCTGGTCTACCCGCCGGAAATGCGTCATGAGGCGTCCCCCGACACTTCCCGCCTTCCTGCCTGCACGGAGAGCGGAGTTTCCGGCTGCGTCACTCCCGCTGCGCCATTGAAGGCGGGGCCGTGCCGACCGCTCTGGCCGCCGCCCGCGCTTTCTCTATGGTCGGGGGTGGGACGACGG